GAGGTACCATACCGAAAGTGTTTGGTGGAAACAGGGTCGAAATCAGTGGTTCCCAACTGGTCCAGCCACGTACTCCAGATTTCTCCACAGTCATTTTTAATTTTTTATTCAACCTTTATTTAACCAGGAAGATCCCATTGAGATTAACAACCTCTTTTCAAGGGAGACCTGGCCAAGATAGGCAGCAGCAAGTACAATACACAGTTACAAATTACACAGATAAAACACAAACAAATGAAAGAAAAAAGTATTAAATTTATAAGCTGATTATGAAAAACAAGTACATGTAGTGGAGTTGGCCTCAAGTATTCTCAGTTTGGATTTAAAGGCGCTCAAAGAAATTAACCCTGTTAGTTTCCAGTCATTTTGTAACATATTCCATGCTAAAGACCCAACCCAGTTTTATCCTCAGCTTCTTCACGTCATTAGTTCAAGGTCCACGCTGTTTAATATATTCAGTGTCATACTTGCTCCATGTTGTGGAGCTAGTTTGTTGTCTCTGTTAGCTGTCTGTTATTCTTTCACTCTACTACAGGAAATGGCACTTCAAAATAAAAGCTTGTGCTTAAAATTCACTGTACTTCAACAATAAAGTGTATTTTATATATTTCACCCCATTTTTTGAGCTGTAAACTGGGCATTGTAAATAATTTTAGCATTTTGTAAATATCTATGTGTGCCTATCGTTGGCAGGCCGACAGCGTCTGGATGGAAATGGACGACCAGGATGACATGCCCACAGCTGACGAGCTTGAGCAGTGGATTGAGGACGTTCTGTCTGGAAAGATCGATCCAGATGATGATGATGAGGAGGAGGACGATGACGATGACGACGACGACGACGACGATGATGACGATGATGACGACGATGACGATGATGATGACGACGATGATGACGACGATGAAGATGATGACGAGGATGATGATGACGATGACGATGATGACGATGACGATGATGACGATGATGATGATGATGACGACGACGATGACGACGATGACGATGATGACGACGATGAATAAATGTTTACCACCATCCTACACTTCACTATAATTTAGCCAGAAATGGCAAAACCCAAAAGTAGCACCAGTTTTTTTTCTAACATCTTGCAGCAAACACACTTTGTGTCCGTTTGCTTCCTGTATGGTTTCCTGTAAGGGACAAACACATGAACCTATGGGAAACTTTACTGTCAGTAAGGGAAGGAGATTTTTTAAAGAAGCAGAGGATTTGCATCTCTGTTGACGATGGGGGTTGCAGCTTAAAATGTTCTATGTCCTTTGTTACTGTATTAAAATATGCTCACATCTCTCCTCTGAGCTTCACAGTGAATGTGAGCAGCTAACAGAGGCTGCATTTTCTACCTAATGTCACACACCGGGGTTCAGCCCTTTCTCATTTCTCCATTTTACTGTAATCCTGTTTCAAGGACATGTTTTCTACTTGACGAAGAGAAGAAACAAACTCTTTCTTGAATTATTTATAAAGAGAGTAAATCTAAACTCACTGGACAGTCTTAAGATTATAACAATCTTGGAAAACTATGAAGATACTGGGAAATAAAGAAATTACAAAATAAATTGTTTCTGCTCTCATATTAAAAATAAAAGACAAAAATATTTAAAAACCTGTTTGGTGTTGTCATTGCTATATTTATGTATGTGGTCTACAGGCAATGAGGTTTAAGCACATATTTAAATGTGTTGTATTTTTCAGTTATTACATGTAATTAATATACAATGCCATAAGACATTTGACTAGCCTTGTGAGAAGGGTCCAAACACCCAACAGCTTACCCAGCAAACATCAGGGCTCTGACAGGTAGCTGAGTACCAGAGAAGATGCCAAACAGTGTTGCACTTTGTTTTTTTGCTCCTTGACCTTAAAGATCTCTCTTGAACCCCAACCAAGGGTGCTTTCAGACCTAGAGTTGTCTTGCTTTGGTCCGAATCAGGGACTAATTCTGTTACAAAGTTTTTCATTTTTCAAAGAATTTCCATGCAGGAAAAGTTTTTGGGGACATAACAATCAGATGTCATTGAGAAGTAAACAAAAGGGCCTAAACTATGCATTGGAGGGATATATTCATCATTTTATTGTTGAGAAGCTCGATGAAAAGCTTAAATTACAAGCCAAAATGTATAGGTCACAGTGTACGCTTGTGAACCGCTTCTTGTTGCCGTCACCATCAAAGACAGCAAGTTAAAGTGCCACTGAAGTGAAGGTTTTTGGCTCAGAATATGAGAAAAGGATAACGGCCTTTTTACCATCTTTACCAAGAGTGTCTCTCCATTAGTTTGGTGCTACAGTATTTACATTGAATCATTCAGCATAACGTTTGCCAACCTTTGTTTTCTCTGCGATTACAGATAAGTTAATGAAGCTAAGCTCCAGAAGTTAACGTTAGCTTAACTAGAGCCCTTTGGACAACAGCTAACAATGATGTACGATCACCAAAGTACAAAACTAGAAAAAAATAGGCTAATGAACTCCCAGCAAACAAGGTGACATGATGAACATCGCAGCTAGGAGCTAACGTTAGGCTAACTTTAGCTAACGTTAGCTAGAGATGTTAAAGATAACTTTATATTTCTTTCCAGCATAGTGACAATATGTTGCCTCAAACACGATGTTGTCTTTCCTTAAAACAAATGTAGACATCCTTGGTAATCTTAATTCACGTTGAGTTGATGTTGTGGTCTAACGTTACCACACAACTTTATCCAAAGGAGACACTTTTCTCGGTTGAGATGTGGTTTAAAGTGTAAAAAATACACCTCGTCGCCCAGCCTCTCAGGATACCTTGTGTCAGAGTTGCATGTACCCCATGCACACTGTTTGACCATTTTTAAACTTCAAATCTCCGAAAAAGCTCATGAAACCAAACAAAACTGACTTTCTGTAATGCATTTCAATGGACGTCCAGGCAGAGAATGTCCGAGTGTATGGGAATGGCTATATGCACTGTGATTGGCTCATCGCATTTGAGGGCGGGACTTAGCCATAGCTGTCAAGTCTCCCGTTTTGGCCGGGAAACTACTGTATTTTACCCCTCTTTCCCGCCGTCCTCCCGTATTAGTATAGAGAATGTGAAGGTGACGTCACGCGCGTTGCACTGTGGGGCGTCAGCGCCATCTTTAGAGGAACGCGGGTGTAAACAAAGCAGTGAAGGGGAATACGAACATGAAGCAAAGGAGATGAAGAAGGGCAAAGAAAATGACAGAGGACCCTACCGCGACAAACTCAAATTAAACGCGAGGCAAAGGTACATAGAGAAGCTGCAAATGCTTAACAATGTCGATCCCTACGATATAACGGCCAAGGACTGGAGTCAAGACCCCGCTGTACTCCCGCCACTGACGTATCCCGACATTGTAAACTATCTGGTTTTTGGACTGAGTGCATATACTTTACAAGAATTTAAAAGTTATAAATCTTTAGAAGCCCATGAGCAGTTCTGCAGCGGATGGGTGCAAGATTTACTCATTCACAAGCCAGAAAACTCAGCAAACACAGTCGTACTAGCAAAGGTAAGGTTGCACTGTTTTTGTCGGGGATGAATGAATGACTGAATGAAAGAGTTTATTTCGATAAGCAAGAGTACAATATATACAACCATTATATACAAAAAAAACCCAGACATGTAATGAAATGACATGAAATGTAAAAAAGAAAAAACAATGTGCCTAAAGCTTGTGGATCATGGATCTTTGTTGTTTCTTTTTCTGTCAGAGGTCATGCACTCCCAGCGTCTTAGCGAGGTTCCTCTGAAGGCTTGGGTTATACTCAGCTCAACTGGTGTAGTTCAGGCAGCTCATTGTACGTGCATGGCTGGTGTTGGCGAGACATGTACACACATTGGTGCCTTACTTTTCAAAGTGGAAGCTACTGTCCGGTGCAGGGAAGTGAAAACAGTCACAGACAAACCTGCATACTGGATCCTACCTGGTAATGTCAACAAAGTGCATGCTGCTGAGAGTCATCACATAAATTACCCTTCTGCTGCCTCCTCCCGAAAATCCCTGAACAGACTCCTGGATGGTGAGACTGACAGCAGGCCCGGCTTGAGGACTCGTGCCAGGAAAATCAGCACACCGCTACCATCACCAACACCTTTGGAACTGAAAAACTTCTATGCAGATCTCCATAAAGCAGCTGGTGGCAAAGCTGCCAGACTACTGTGAGGAGTTCAGAGATCCTGTGCAGCCTGTAACAAAACCGAAATCTCTTGTCTCTCTACGTGACACTAGTATTGTTGGATGTGAATATTCAGTTCTGGAACAGCACTGCCAGTCACTAAAATCACAAGCTGAAGTGTCAGAGAAACAAGCAGAACAGATAGAGAGGTGCACACGAAAACAGCAGAAATCCTCATTGTGGTTTTCTGCGCGAGCTGGCAGGATTACAGCCTCCAATATGCATGCTGTTTATGCAACGGATTTGAAGTCACCAGCTCTGTCAACAGTAAAAAAGGTTTGTTATCCTAAGGACAACACATTTACCACATCCGATATGTCTTGGGGCATAACAAATGAAGGAGAGGCAATGAAGACGTACATTGAAAAAACCAGGGGACAACACAACAGTCAAGAGGTTGCCACATGTGGATTCTTTATCAACCCCACTTTCCCTGAAGTAGGAGCATCACCAGATGGCACAGTGAGGTGCATTTGTTGTGGTAAAGGCTGCATAGAGATTAAATGTCCTTCCAAATACAAATACAGCACCATCCATGATGCTTGTTTGGCCAAAGACAGTAACTTCTGCCTTCAGCTTGTTGATGGGGAATTACAACTAAAACATGGACACCCCTACTATGCACAAGTCCAAACACAAATATGTGTTACAGATAGTAAGTACTGTGATTTTGTAGTTTGGACACTCAAAGACTGTGCTATTCTGCATATACTGCCAAACCCTGAGTTTTGGAGGGCACACCTACAGAAGGCACAACATTTTTTCACAGCAGTATCTTTGCCAGAGCTGGTTGCACAGCACTACACTAAGCCAGTGTCCCAAGTGTCAGAGAGAAGGCCTCTGAAGGAACTGCAACAACACAGCATGAAGAAGGGGAAAAAGAGGGACGGAAAACAGTGTCAAAATGCAAAGGAAAGACAATGGTGTCTGTGTCATGGACCAGAACATAAAGATGACATGGTTGCATGTGATAATGAAAACTGCAAAATCCAGTGGTTTCATTTAACATGTGTTGGACTCAAGGATGCACCTGCAGCAGATGACATCTGGTTTTGTAGCTCCTGCTCAAAGTCATAAGTTCATGTCTGGCTGGGCTCTACAATAGGCCAACTGCCTCCTGTGTTAACACTAAATGCCACCTGATAACCACAGTTAAAGCTAGACTTTATAGAGTTGTGATAATTAACATTTTAGCTCTGCACACCTCTCAGCACACCAAGTGGTAGTTCACAGAGAAAAGACCACTCCTAAATGTCAGGGCAGGATAAAGAGTGTCGTAGCAAAACTGATTCCGTCTTAAGTCATTACCTTTCTGACCTATTGAAAGATGTAAATATGAATGTTAAAATAAATATGTTGAAATAACAATGTTAATAAAGTATTCATGTCAGCCAGCCTGAGATCAGTTTGTGTTCATTGATCATCCACAAATATTTATTCATCAACTAGAAAATAGAAAATCTTCAACTAGAAAATCTTCCTGTTACACTGATAAACATGATAAAAAAGAGGCAATAAAATATCTGCTAGACCTAGCTAGTTATATGGGTATTATTCATTATTACCTGTTTGATGACTAAAATGAAAGACAGACACATTTGAATGCCTTTGTAAGGTCTTTATTTCACTTTAAGAAATTTGCTGTCTGTAAAGACAGAGTTACAAAAACAGTAATCAAAAGTTGTGGTCAATAATTCACCACAATTGTCTGACTGGTTATTTTATCTACAGTATCTCACATAAGTGAGTACACCCCTCCCATTTTTGCATATAGTGTTGTCCCAGGAAAAGATATAATAAAATATTTGCAAAAATGGGAGGGGTGTACTCACTTATGTGAGATACTGTACATTTACTCACCATCTATGACAACATACCAGACACATTAAAAACAAAGTTGCAAAAAGAGTAATATAAAGCAGTGGTCAATCATTCATCACAATTATTTGACTGGTTATTTTATCTTTGTGTACTATCTATGAAAACATACCAGTAACAGTAACCAAAGTTTTCACCAGTAGCCTCAGCTACCTGACAGTCTTTTTTTTTTCAAACACTACAATGTAGGCAACAACAACAATTTTGTCCAATAATGTGATTTGCTCACCTTCACATGGCAAAACCATGTCGATGGGGATTTTTGAAGACAGTATCTGGTATTTGTTTCGGACAACACCGATGACTCTCTCCACGTGGATCCTCAGGTTTGCGAGGGATCTTGTTTCTTCCACATCCTTTGCGTCCAACTGTCGCTGACCCTTTGTGAATGCTGGTGTTCTTACTTCAGCACACATCATCCCTACACTCTCCCTGATGTCAAAACTGCGATCTGCCAACACCATGTCACCTGGCAGAAGTTTATCCAGAAAGCCACAGTTCTCTGTTACTCTTTTGTCACTTGTTTGTCCACCCCAACCTTTGGAAATGAAAGAAATCACTCCTTGAGGAGTTATACCTATTAGGTATTTAAGTGTGTGGCTGTGCTTGTAATGTGAAAATGTTTGTGCCCTTGCATGAAGGTTGGATGGCCTTTTAATAAAAACCTCAAAACAGTCTATAATGGCAGCTACTCGATTCCCAAATGTCTCAACAAAGTTATGTGGCATACTGGCTTGCAAAGTGTCTCTGTCTGGCCAATGCACCATTGGAGCCAGGCATGCATACAGAGCATTAATAGTTTGTTGAAATACAGCACTCACTGTTCCTCTGTGCGCATCAAATAGGTGACCAATGTGCTGCAATGGCAGATTCAATCTCAGACGCATGAGAGTGATCAGTAGCATTTGAAACGGAGTAAGCTTTCTTTTCCCCTGTGGCAGAAGGGGAGTTACATAGCACAACAAAGAATAAAAACTTTCATAATTTGTAAGTCCGGTGTAATATTTTACTCTGTTATTATCACACTTCAGAAACTCCTCTGTCATTTCTCTTTCGGCAAGTTTACACTTCAGATTTCTGTTTTCCTCCAGTAGACGGTTGATTTCATCACACCTAAGCTTGCACATCTCGCAATCCTCTTCACACTGGCCATCAGGATGTGGCACTGTGCTCGCTTCATGTTGTGCCCCGTTTTCCTCTTCTTCTTGTGTGTTGTCCTCTCCTTGATGAGACCTCTCCTCCATTCCTTGTTGTGCTCGGTCCTCCACCTGAAGTTGCGCCATCCTCTCCTCTCCTTGTGAGCTCTCCTCTGCTCTGTCCACCACTTTGTCCCCTGCCCTTTCCTTTGTCTTCTCATCTTGGTTTTTATGTCTCTTCAGCTGACGTGCAAATTTGTCAGGAACTTTCACCTCGTTGTGCCCCAAAAGCAAAGACGGCATTCAATCAGGATGAGTTTCCAGCATTTCATATGCAGGTTGTCCTATGCATACAGAAATAAGTGTAAATTAAACCCAATAACGCAAATACTAACATTTCACAAACATTTCGTTAAGATAGAAACAAAGTTGAAGATAGTTTGGATCACAATCTAAAGTGGAGAACACAGTAACGTTGGTGTCAACAAACACAGACATACACGTATTTAACGTTACCATACACACACACCCTGGGCCTAAGTTAGACACCAATATGTAACAGCAAAACACCAGAGTACTCACCTGACTGAAAATGAAGAGAACATACTCTCATATGTTCAGGAATACTGTTAAATGCGATGTTTTTTCTCCTTACTGCTGCAACCCACCCGATTCGTCGTCTTTTTGTCAGCTCCTCAACTTGCGGGCCTTCGGTTTTTTTCCACTTAGGAAAGGAGAAAAAGCGGATTCCATTGTCCAGTTTTTTGCCAGATGTATCATGTGATCGACTGTGGCAGTTTTTAACGCAGCAGTACTGTCCGACCATGATTACTTAAAATGTTGAACTCGCTTGAAGAGCTAGCTTCCAGCTTTACACCCATAGACATATATACACCCGCGTTCCTCTAAAGATGGCGCTGACTCCCCATAATGCAAAGCGGCGTGACGTACCTTCACATTCTCTATTTTCCTGTAAATCTCCCGTATTATAATATAATTTAAAAAAAAACAAAACATTCCTCTGCCTCTCCAAACTGAACTCTGTCACTAGCCTTGCGAGAACTGCCACCTGCAGTAGCCTGGGTGGCAAAAGAACTTGAGTTTGACTGAAATGAACCAAACAGGGCAGGTGTGAAAGCACCCTAAGTTGCTTTGTGCCTAAAATGAACCAAACTTTAACCATGGTGGTGTCAGATCTGAAAACTCTTATCTTTGCAGAAGTGATTTGTGACAAATTTGGAAATCACTGACAAATGACACTGTTCTGCTGATTGGGGCGTTATATAAGAAAATGCCTTGTTGTGTTGCTCAGAAGGGAAGTTAGCCTACAAACAGTGACAATTCTCTTAATATTTTTGGGTCTTCTCTCGTTTATACTTGCCTGTAGCTGCTATGTCAGCAGCCAGTGGAGTAGTACAGGCTTTATGTAAGTGTATATAGGGGTATACCCTTCTCCTTTTCTGGCTGTTTACAGTATACACACCTATCACCCAAAAAGCCACTGAAATATCTAGGAGAATATACCCACTTCCTCCTTGGTAACGATGAACTGAAAGATGAACTGTAGCGAGGGACTGGAGGCAAGAGGAAATTATGAAATATTCGGTTTGAATACCAATGGTGAAAAATACTAACTTCTGAATTTTACAGTGTTGGATCAAAACAAAAAAACTCAAGGCCAAAGCAACACAGCAGTGGCTCAACAGCATAGAGGTGAATGTCCTTCAGTGGAAGAGTCATTTAGTAAATAGAGTACAAAAATTTGGCCAAATCAAGGCCACTTCACTGTGTAAGCCAATTCAGTTAAACATTAAAATGGCCCCTAGAGTTTATATGACCAGCAGTATGAAGGGGTAAATGACCGTAGTCAAAAGTTTGTTAAGACACAAAAATGTCTAAATAGTGAGTATGACCTCAGGCAACAAATGGCAATTTCCATGTCTCCAGTCTGTTATATGACAGAAATTTAAACCTGCAATTGCAATTTTTTTTAGAAATTGGGGACAACAGAAACAAGTTATGAACACACACATTGTAGAATTTGTTGAGAACAAAATAACGTAACAACGGTCAGTGGAAACTAAAATCATCAACCCACTGAGAGCTGGATTCAAAATCACAGGCTGATCCAACCTGCATGAATTTTACCACAGCTACTCATAAAGTGACTCAGTAATGTGTGTGGCTGTTTTAGTATTTGTTGATGGTGAATGCAAGAAACATCTTAATAAAGAAGACTAAGGGCTCTAGTTTCCTGGCGCAGCGCAGGGTGGTGCAGGGTGGTGAACCCCGCGCAGAGCCAGTTTCGAGCAGCGCAACCCGAGGCGCGCTCAGTTTGGTAGTTTGGCAGACCGAGGTGAGCTGAGATAGGTGTGGCGGAACAGCAGAAGGAGGTATCGACAGATCCAGCTAGAAACAGTGACAGTTAAGTGCCAAAAGGCTTCGCCGAAGGTGCGCTAAAAGCTCGCCAGCTGAAACCACATCTACTGTCAGTGCAGGCGGAGCGCAGCCGGTGTAAGCCGAAGTTTGGCTGACCGGCGGACAGTGCGCACACGTCACCAAAACCTCACAGGCAGGTTTCCAGAATGTCAGGCACATTAACGATGCAATAAATAGCCACAAAAACCACTATTCAATGCAACTATCTGCAATCAGCACATAAATGTGTCTCTATATCGACTGTCCCGTCACATCTGATGTCAGATCAAAGGGGATTGGCACCGTTTGGCACCGTTTGGCACGAGTAATGGAAACCCAACCTGATTTGATTAACACAGCTGCAAACTAATGAGTTCACATCCCTCTCAGCCAATCACAAACAGCCACAGCATCAGATAGGGAGTATATATTCAGCATCTGTCATCTTAGAAAAGTCAAAAGAAAAGAAACAGAGTGAGACTGCGAGAGAGAGAAAGAGAGAGCGCGCGCACGAGAGAAACGCAACATTGATTTACAATTGTGGTGACCTCCTCCCAGGCTACCTTTGCATCATCAGCCCGTGGAGGTCTGCTCGCAGTTCCGTATATTCAGACACTCCCGGACCAAAACATCAGTTTCCTCCTGGGAGAAGTTTGGCCGTCTGACGCTGCTGCTCTCTTCTGCCATGGCGAATTGAGTAAACTCTCATTACGCCTTCGCGCGGCACATTTAAGGGCGAGGAGAGGGGCTCATTTGATTGGTGTGATGTGAATGGGCTGTGTAAAACCCACTCCACGCCTTCTCTCCTCCCTCTTTCCGACTTGCGCAAGTAGGAGGGACGGAGGTGGGACAGAGTAGCTGCGCCAGCGCGCACGGTGTGCCAAACTTGCAAAATCCGCCTGGTCACACCCAGTTGGCGAAGCGCAGGTGCGCTGCGCCCCCGCCTCGCCTGGTCTGCGAAACTAGAGCCCTAAATGCATGTCGTCGTCAGCTAGTTATCTGTCTGCATAGCTGTGCTCAAGTCGAGCAGTGAGAGCAGAACATGCTTATTAAATGGACAGATTGGTATCTCTGAAGTTTAACTGACTTGGTGTTATACTGTGACCAATAAGTGTTTCCTTAAATTGTTTTGAGCAGTATAGAAAAATAGAACATATTTTACATCCCTGATGCTGTCATTCTGTGTCTATTGCCTATATGGCATAGGGAATAAAGGACTTGTTATGTATGAGTTATCACTGATGTTGATTTCAGGGTTTCCCACACATTAATGTATTTGTGGCCTGCCACGATTAAAACATCTACCTCCATATTTTGATCTTCCATTTTTGGAGCCGGACTGTTCATTAGCTGCGCTTTTGGAATAAATATACCATTCGGTTATAAACCCCCCCAGTCCTTCATCATGTCACACTTCTCTCTCCCGGTGGATGTGAGGCTTCAACAAGTTCAACTTCTGAATAATTTTTTTTAGCCCATAAAGACCTCTTCAAACCAGAATGTAAGAATGGAATAGTGGTTCGGAATTTCAATACACTGAAAATCCCCTTGTTTTCTCCATGGAACTTTATTCTTTGGTCAATTTGCCAGAACACCCCTGAAACACATGAAACAAACTTCCCGTACGATCAGTGAAAGTTTCTGTTTACATTTCTCTAGCATATCAAAGGTTGAGGGATTGCATTGCATAATAAGCCTTGTTTCCAAGGGGATGTCAAACATTGACGAGTCATCATTCAACAACATAAAAGCAGCCAGAGGGAACACATCAATCAGAGTCAAGTTTGATCAACTTGGAAGATGACATCCAGCATTTTGTGGTTTACGTTGCTGTTATGCAGCTTAATTTTGGCCCAGGATACTGGAAAAACAGAAACACCTTGTGAAATGCAGTTATGTTATCCTGTGAGTGATCTCCTCAAAGCGTTTGGTGCCATGAAAGAAAAACTTGATGCTTTGGAAATGAGGCTGAACAACAATGAGAACAGGTTGGAGACTTCACTGAATAATTCATTGTTTGCATTTTGTATATCATGATAGAATACCCATGATTCAATGATTTGAAGCATAACAGGTCCTCCAAACTAAACAACAAAAGATGAAGGTAGCATGATAGAGTGTGTCTCCTGACAGACAAGTCGTAATTCACATGGTTGCCAGAAATCTATCATCAGTATTACAGTATTACAGCTGATGCTCACATTTTTCATTGTTTTCATTGTTGTGATCAGAATGTTTTGTTTTACACTCAAAGAACCAAGGTGATATTCAGTGCAGCAACAGGAGGAGGAGATAAAGCCATTGGGCCCTTCAACAAAGAAACAACTTTAATCTACAGAACAGTGATAACGAACATTGGAAATGCCTACAATCCATCTACAGGTAAGACTTTAGCGGGATTTATACTTCTGCGGCAAACCCTACGCCTTAGCCTACACTGTTGTGAGCATTTATACATGTGTGGTGGTGTGTCTGTGTCACCTCCAAAACACTAGTCGCCCGTGGAGCTTCTGTGAAGTGCCGTAAAGTTTAATTGGTTCAAAACACATGTTAAACATGGCTTAATGGAGTCAGTTTCAAACACATACAAAATTGGCTTCACTATAACTCGCAGCATTCACAGACAAACACTTGTCTTTATCTGGACACATTTTCCCCACAAATACAACATGCTAATGTTTTTAGCACAAGCCTATGGCATTTTACATTGTGTAGATTAGCCTTAGCGAACTTTTCCTCTGCCCATATGAAGCCAGTATGAATCACACACAAGACTTAAAATACTTTTTTTGTGGAGGCTTTATTGAGTGTGTTTACATGCACAGTTTAATTCCCTTTTCATTCGGAATGAAAGTTCATTCCTATTAAAAGTGATCTTGTAAACACCTAACTCGGAATGAAAAAGGCCAATGCAAATGAAAATCATTCCGATGTAAAGGGGCTGGAATATTTACGTTTCTAATTCCAAATGAAAGAATTTCTCACACTTGTATACACTCACTGCTCTTTAAGTTCATTCCGGTCTTTCTGCGCATGCTCGTTTCCTCGCCCTTCTGGCTCGATGACGTATATAGCACAACACAAAACATCTTCTGTCTCCCTTCTTTGACCTTCTACCTCTCTTCTCCTCCTCAACAACAGACGAAGCATTAGCAGAACAAGGTTGTTGTCGTACTGCTGCTTCAAGAATATAAGCAAAACATGCCTGAAAAAAGGCACTAAGAACGGCGTCGTCAAGCATCTTGTTATCCGGAATGAGGACTACAGTGTTTTCTTCCGGTAAACATAAACACGTAACATCCGCCTCGCCCCCTATCCAATCAGAAACCTTCCCTGCCCCAAAACTTGCACAGACCCGAATAAAGGCGATTAAACTGATCTCCTGTGTAAACCCTCTTTCGGAATGAATATTTCCCATGTAAACTACCTGGAGAGACTTTTATTCTGAATGATTTCATTCAGATTTATTTCATTCCGAATGAGAAGCCATCATGTAACCGCACCCATTGTCTTCACAATTTATTGTTTCTTATCTGTTGAATTAAATAACATAAAGGCTTTGTTTCCACTGAGGGAAATAGTTTCAGCTTACAAAAATAGACAGGAGGTCTGCGTCGCCGCCTGTAGTTACATTTCTGGAGAGGTGCACATCAAGCTACGGCGTTGATTCAATGAAGAAGTATAAATTCTGCCTTACAGTCAACTGCAGGTTTTCTTTTGCATCAGTGTTATTGAGACTTTTTACAGAAAGTGTTAATAAATATAATGAAATCAAGTGATTTAACCTCAGCTAGCTATAAAAAAGAAAAGAAAAGAAAAACTAACCAACATGCTCTTGTTTTGACAGGTGTCTTCGTTGCACCTGTAGCAGGTGTTTATTACTTTTCTATCTTCTTTCATGCCGGGGGAGAATATGAGGGAAAAATATTTTTGTACAAGAACAACGAACTCAAGGTAGGAACCCATGATCACCGGTCAGATGATGACACAGCTGATAATGGAGGAAATGCTGTGTTTCTGGAGCTGGTGCCAGGAGACCAGGTGTTTGTGGCCTTGCATGAAAACTCACATGTTTGGGGATCCGACATCCACACAACCTTCAATGGTTTTCTGGTCACTCAGATATGAGAGTTATCACACTGTATATCTGATGAAAGAGAAGGTTGTTGCTCATAAAATAAAGATTTTAAAAATGAGATTGGTCTTCTTCATTAGTTGCTTTATTTAGTTCTTTGAATTTGTTCAGAAAATAAATAAAAAGGTGAAATTGCTGCCCCCAACACAATGTTTGGTTGTTGGGTTTTGAATTAAATTTAGTTTATTAGATTTAGGCCAGTTTTACATTGCAACCAATGAAGGATTTGGGGTAAATGCCTGACCTTTTCAACCCTAACCCTAACCCCCCGCCCTACAAATTACGACTGGGAGGAACTTCGAAGGGATGTCCACAACTATCATAGACGCATCAAAATCCTAGATCATTTTCACGCACAACCTGACCACCGTTATCAACCTTTCACCAACCCATCCAGCTGGGAACCAACACTCTCCCAGGTCAAAACACAAACACAGAAATTAATCAATTTGGACAAACAAAGCCTGCGCATATATCATCCCCCGGCAGATACCTCAGATAACCTGTCGGGGGCCGTGCGCAGGGCCCTCAAACAACTCACCCACAACCCAAACGTCATAATAAAACCAGCGGATAAAGGCTCCAAAGTTGTAATACTTGACAGGCACCAGTACCTCCTAGAAGCTAACCAGCAACTCTTAGACAATATGTACTACACACCCATAGAACATACCATCCAACACAATACACAAACACAAATTAGAAATATTGTACACTCCCTCCACATCAAAAAATACATCTCAGCCAAACAAATAGATTATCTAATTGGACCCAATAACCCCCGCCCGAGACACTTCTACCTCCTGCCTAAAATCCACAAAGATCCCACCACCTGGACTGGTTCCCTTCGAAGTTCCTCCCGGTAGACCTATAGTTTCCTACTGCAATAGCACCACCACATACAACATATCACAGTACATAGATCATTGTCTCATCCCCCTCTCCACCAAACATCCCACCTACATCAAGGACACCTATCATTTCATAGATATCATCAGACCCATGGCTGTTCCAAAACAGACATACCTCTTCACTATCGACATTGACAGTCTTTACGCTAACATAAATACCGATTTAGGCATTCAAGTGATACAATCGATTTTCAAAAAATATCCAGATCCAAATAGACCGGACCATGAATTAATTCAACTACTCACTCTCTGTTTAAAAAATAATGATTTCACTTTCAATGACAATCACTACCTACAGATACACGGAACAGACCGTGGGTCAACAATTCGCACCCTCTTATGCAAACATATACATGAGCGAGTGGGAGCGAGAAGCCTTGGCCAAGTGCCCCCTAAAACCATCCCTTTTTCTCCGATACCTAGACGATATAATAGGTACCTGGCCCCATGACATGACAGCATTCAAAGATTTCATCCAGATCCTCAACAACCACCATCCATCCATTAAAATCAAATCCACCATAGACCCACACCAGGTCCATTTTCTAGACACAACAGTTTTTTGTTTTTTTTTTTTTCAGTCCACAGATCACACATCCAAACACATGCTAACAAAAGTTTATTTCAAGGCCACAGACACCCACGCGCTCCTCCATCAATCTAGCTATCACCCAAAACACACCTTTAAAGGCATCATAAAGTCTCAGATCATTAGATTCCACCGGATTTCATCCCTACAATCAGATTTTGAACACTCCACCCGCACCCTATTCAACTCCCTCTGCAAAAGAAAATATTCCAAACGGTTTCTGAGACATATCAAAAACAGCACCTTGGCCTCTCTCGCTCCCACCCGCTCATCACCCACACCCACACCCACGACACACCATCCACACACACTGCCACCAGTCAGCTTCCCCCCTCAGCACCCCCACTACCCAAAGATCCCTCGCTCCCCTACCTGAATCAGGGTCTGAATCCCAACCCCACCCACATCCCAGCTGAAGGGGGGAACAACTCACACAACAGCCCCCCACACACAACCACAGCAAAACTCCTCCCCCTAGTTTCCACATTTTCACACCGCATAACCGGACTACACCAAAAAATAAAATGCAACTTCACCAGCACCCAACCTGACCATCCCGTCATTCAAAACCACAAAATCATCTCCGCATTAAGAAAGAACCCCAACCTCCAAAACATCTTGGTAAAATCCAAATTCACCACACACAGCCAGCCCCCCCAAAACTCCTGAGACCCGACACTACAGCAATAGAAAATTCACCACCAACCCATACAGAAACCTATCCTTCCCACCACATGGCTCTTTCTCCCTCCACCATAGCAACATTGTCTACATAATTACATGTACACTCTGCAGTAGACATTACATTGGAGAAACACAACACACACTCCTTACCAGACTCAAACAACACTTACGCAACATCAGGCTCAACTCACTCACTACCCCACTGGTCACCCATTTTCAACACCACTCTCCAGATCTTCTCATTATATCAGGCCTAGAATCCAACAGCCACTGGACCACTGGGCAGAGGAGGAGAGCTGAGAAGATTTGGATCGAGACGCTGGGGACTCTAACACCTGGGGGGCTAAACGACATCCCCTAACCCCTTCTATCCCCTAGTTGGTGATGGAAGACCAGGAGCAGCTCCCAGCTACCCTCCCCCTTCCCTTCCACCTTCCCTTTTTCCTCCAACTTCCACCTAACCCTGTACCAGACCTCTACCCTAACCCTGAAACATAATTTACAAAATTCTACAGTTGAATTTTTGGACACGCGTGTCTTCTTCCGCAACTCCGGTGACCAAAACAAGGTACTAGCAACAAAAGTCTTCTTCAAAGACACTGATCGCCACGGGCTGCTCCATAAAACCAGCCACCATCCAAGGCACGTGTATAGAGGCCTGATAAAATCCCAGCTGATACGCTTCCACAGAATCTGCACCCTTCCGGAGCATGTGGAGGAGGCCACAAGCACCCTTTTCAGTGCACTGAGGCCTAGGGGTTACTCGAAGCGCTTCCTCAGAAGTGTCAAGGCAGAGGTCAGCCGGACCTTTAAAGAGAAATACAATCAAATCACCCCTCAGCGGGCCGGCCCTACCCTCGTCTCTCTCGTGGTGACTTTTACAGAGACCATTAAAGGCTTTCTGTCAACTTTCAAAACCCACTTTGAGGGGGCGAGGGAGGGCTGTGATTCGCCGGGGGAGTGTCGGCTGATCTCTGCCTACCAACGGAATAAAAACTTAAAAGACCTACTGGTACACTCCAATCTAAACGAACAATCACACACTGAGGAGGCGCTTCGAGGCTCGGCGGTTAGTTTTATTTCTCTCCCCCACATTTTTAACCCCTACGCAAGGACTGGAGTGAATCCGTGGCAGGCCTTGAAATCCACCACCAAAAATGCAGTATACGCCATCAGGTGCAAGGCCTGCCACAAACTGTATGTGGGGGAGACCAGGAATAGTATTAATGCGAGAATCAAACAACATTTTTACAAAATGAACAATGGGAGTGGCACCAGTGTCCTATACGCACATTTTAAACTCCATGGCCAACACAATGTGCAGAGCATGGGCCTGGAGAGCAATAGGGATCGGACCATGGGCCAGAGACGAGCAGCAGAGAGGAAATAGATTCATCTATTAAAGACAATAAACCCTACTGGTCTCAATGAAAAATATGTTTGATGAATCCATTTCCACTTGTTAATAGAGGATTTTTTTAGCATTTATTAGAAATGCTTACCTCCTGACTTTCCAGGGTCTCTTTTCCACAGGTTTTTAACAGGGCTCTGGCTGCGGAACACCAACTGATAAATGAATTTTATGTATTTGCTTTCTAAATTTTTATTTTTATTTTTTATCTTTTTTTAAATTTTACTGGGTTGATTTATTTATATTACTGAAATGCAGCTTCTCCCAATTGGTTTAACAATTTATTACTTTTGTGTGTGTGTGTGTATATATTGTATATATTTATTTTATGCATGCTCTTATTATATTTTACAATATATATTTTTATGTTTCACCTTTCTATGAATTTTAGTGTGTATTTTAAATTATTATGATCATTTTTTTATATAGCACTTATTGATTCATGTTGGAGGAAGCTGCATTTTTATTTACAATTTATTTTCTTAATTATTCTATTTATTTATTTTATTATTAACTCATTCATTTTATCTGTTGCATTATACCAGCTTTTTGCCCACAGCCGGAGTCCCCACTAACCTTTATTGTTTTAATAAACTTTCTTGAAAAATCTGGGGTGAGCTATTTTTATTTATAAACCAGAGCAAGTTTTAGATTGGGCGTTGGAATTTTACATGTTTTAAAATCACTTATTTATATTTTATGATTTTTATGAACTTTTGTTATTTCCCTTTCCTGATTTTTTAATTGGTTTTATTGTTCCATGTACTTTTATTGACTTGTCATTCAGCACTTTTGCATGTATTTATTTATTTTAAAAGCACTTATTAACCTTTCTTCTTTTATGTCGGTTTTCTTAATCCCACCCCAGCACTTATTTTCATTTATTTTATATAAATTTTATCTTGCTCCTTTTTATTAACAGCTACCCTAAGATGTAAATTTGGAGACCCTGGGAAGCTGGAGGACTTTGTTTAAAACCTACTTCCCACTGCCAAACTGCCCTGTGGCCCAATCTACTTTGCATTTTATAAAATTTTAACAGGGCTTTAAGGGACCTATTTGGTTTTAAACAAAAAATTATTTTAAGTATCTTATGGATATATATAGCCCCCGAGAGCCCGTGCCCCCTGGAGTGCTCTCTTTAGAGCACTGCGCTTTTACCCTAACCTAACCACCCCCCTTCCAGTGCCTAATCCTAAATTCTCTTTTTTTTCCCCCTTGCTTTTCCGTCCCCTTCTCTCCCCCTTCTTTCTCCCTTTCGTCCATCCCCCTTTTCTTCCCACTCCTAACTCTTAAGTTCTCCTCATTCCTTCTCCTCCCCACAGCTCCCCCGGATGACAGGCAGTTGCCTTTTCCACCATGCTATCCACACAGTACATAATATTCAGTCTTCCATCCTTACTTAGAGTTTGGGCAACCCAGTCGGTAGGCCAGTGCTATACAGGTCCACATTTGACCCCTGAACC